GAGAGAGAGAGAGACAGACAGACAGACAGACAGACAGACAGACAGACAGACAGACAGACAGACAGACAGACAGACAGACAGACAGAGACAGAGACAGAGACAGAGACAGAGACAGAGACAGAGACAGACACAGACACAGACACAGATCACCCAACAGTTTCTGTGCATCGGAGGAATCGCTCATTGTTCTTTATGGAGAGTGTACATGGACTTCCTGATGAGGCAAGTGCAATTCTCCACGCTTCCTCGCCTATCAATCTGTGTACATTCCTCATGCAGAGAGGACAACTGAGGGCGAGAGAGAGAGAGAGAGTCACTCATTGTTCCTTTTTCCCACGTCGTCTCATGATGGCTCTGCACAAGATGACGGCTTTGCGTCTGGCCAGCGAAGTTCGATGGTTCTGCACATGATGATGTCCTTGCAAGTGTGTAATTTCCAAAACAAAGTTGTTGCACTCAAATCTCACTCATGACAAGCACACCGTCACAAGGAGGGCCATATATACATACAACAGAGCAAATAAAGGCTGTCCATTTTCTTAAGGGGAAAGCGGGCCCAGTCTCTTACACAGAGGTCCTTTAATATGCATGAGTCTCAGATATCCTGGATTGGGTGGATGAAGGATCTCTTTAACAGATTGTGAAGTGAGTGAGAGTGCATTGTTGAGTTCCCTTGAGTGTGATCGCACGGGATGAGCATCAGCATCATTTCACGCAAAATGTTCAGTGTCTCACCGCTACCGTCTTCCCCTTGACACAACACACCCTGGTCCGTTACGGTCATCATTCTCCTGAAAGAATTTCACCACTGCGGCCTTGGTCCCAGTCCCAAGCCCCACTCCCAAGTACCCCTTCCAAGTCCCCCTCTCCCAGTCTCAAGTGCCATAGATCAGGCACAATTGTGCCTCTGGAGAAACAGCTTGAATGCTAGTTGTGTTTGCAGTGCGCCATGTTTTTCTGTTGACAGAATGGGCAAACTTTTCACTTTTCTTTTTTCCCCCGCCACTACCTTTCCCGCTGTTGGGAAAACGGGAAAATATCCTCCTACTAAAAATTCGGAGGCCAGGCCTGACCACGGCCGCAGTTGATAAATCTCAACTGCGGCTGTCGTTTCGTTTCCACCTCCTAACGATTCGGGGGGCCGACAGCGGCCTGCATGGAAAAGGAAGCGGCGGTTTAAGAAAACTAAGCTATATTCTTCTCTATAAAATTATAAATTATACCTCACACTACCTACCTACCTATATGTCTTAGCACCATCCTCTCACCCATGTCTAAGCACCGCAGGGTAAGGGGGGTAATCTCACTCCGCTGGGGTTGGGTCTAACCCCAGACAAGAGATGGAAGGGAAGAGGCCCCCTACCAAGACCGGCCAGGTGGGGGGGCAAGCCGACTATCTCAGCTGGTGAATCCGCAGCGCGCCGCAGGAGACAGTGGGGATCCCAGTGGAAGACGTGAGGAATTGAACCCACGACCTCCTGAATGGCGCTTTTGTGCTCTACTAACTGAGCTAGGCCGTTTTGTTCTTTCGCCAAGTGAACTTGTTAGAACTTAGAACCGGCAATAGCACTATCAGTTGTTAAGAGATTTGTTGTGTGTGTACACGTTTCGAACGGATTTGAACTCATGATCTGATCATCAACAACTACACGCGTGAACTGTTCAGCAGAAGGCTGGCTGGGGTTTCCCTACTTCCCCTGCACCAGTCAGCAAACAGCTACATGTGTTCCATTCAGCCATAGTGAAAGGATTCACAGGCTGTCCCGTTAGGGTAGGTTCTAGGGTCCGTGGGCCGAAGTGTCGTAGGTCGGTAGGTGTCGGTACCGAAACGTCCCAGGTCGTTAGAAGTCAGTGCCGTACCCTTCAAAAAAAGTCCAGTCCAGTCCCAAGTCCTGTTTTGCAGCATGTCCCAGGGAAGTCCGGAAGCAACCGGGCCGAAAAAAGGATTGCAGCAGACAGGCCGCGGCCGACCCGTACCAGTCTGAAGCAGGCCAAGCCAAGTCCAACTCTATATTTAGCTACTACAGTGCAGGGGCTGGGCACTTGTTCAATTGCAAGATGCGGAAGCGCTGCTGCTGCTTGTGCATTGAGGCGACTTGGACACATCGCGCCTGGGGAAGGAGAAAGGCGCTTGAGGGATATTCCCTAGCTAGGGTGGTAAAGTAGGAGTTCCGGCAGCCATAGCCGCCAAGCTCGAAATTTACCAGAGTGGGTGTATCCACGGTACGATCTGGTGTTAGAAAAGAGAGAGAGAGAGAGAGAGAGAGAGAGAGAGAGAGAGAGAGAGAGAGAGAGAGAGAGAGAGAGAGAGAGAGAGAGAGAGAGAGAG